TGGACAGGGGGGGGGCACATCATTACTGGGATTTTGGTCAAGTCCGTACGTCCCCTACCTCGCTACTTCCCTTCTCGTCGAGCTCTCGGGGTGGGGAGAGGACATGTAGTACATATGAAACAGGAAAAACCAGAAAAGGTCAACAACCTCTCCCAAAAGGTCAGCAGGCAGGTGTGATTCCCATCCCACACACCAGCAAATACGACCCCCCTCCCTTTTCCAGCGACCAAATGCGACCTCCTGCTGGAAATTCGCCAACGATGATGAGCCCTGGTTCAGGGAATGAGTGACGTGAATCGAAGAGCATTTCTAGCTATTTGACTCCACGACCCACTTTGGCGCGACAGTTCACGGCCCATGCATCTTATTAGACGACCCCATGTCAAAAATGACAGTCTATTATCATATCAGAAATATAGCAATTATGTCATACCATAAAAGTTCCGCCCCTTTGTGGAACACCGGATCCGGCACCATTACGCACTGCATTCCCGCGGCGTGAGCAGCCATTACACCATTCGGAGCATCTTCAAAAACGAGCACGTGAGACGGATCGGAAGGCGGATCAGGAAACCTGAACGTGACCGGTCCACCCCACATTGAAAACTACGTCAACAAACTGAAGGGTGTTCAAAGAACGATCATCGTTGGAAACGTGCGAACCTCTTCATTGTTTCAAGGAAAGGATCGGGAAACGGTTTGCCTCTCTTAATGCTTCCATCATCGCCGCTACACACCTGCAAACATTTGAGGAATTCTGTGTGATGTTTCCTGAAAAGACCTTGGAGTGACACTAGCAAATGTTACAAGAACGTTAACAACCGCTGCTTACATGGATAGGTATTAAGTCAATCCAATCTCTATGATTTTCAGCTTTCTGGGCAAACGTGCGACTGCAGGATCCTGTGCAAATGGCCATGGGAACACCTGAACCGCGAATGACTTTGATGATCGTCCTTAACAGCAGAGCCTTTGTTCTGCAAATGGTATTGGAGCAAAATCACATTCAGTTCCCAGAGGCTATCTAAAGGCTATCTGAATGGTAGGTCATGGCCTTTCAAGTAAAACGTCTTCCACTCTTTCATGACTATGGTCCCTGAACACTTCTCCCAAGGCGGTCTACGGACAACTCGAACACAATTCCTTGGAATTCCGTCAGCTTCTGCTTTTCTCTGCGCTTCCTTGTCGGCAAGCATTCTATGACCTCTTTAACCTAACCTATTCCAAGTTTTCACGCACAACAAGTGGCTCATCCATTTCAGAGTCCCTCTTTCTGAAAAAGCTCATCTTCCGGCTCGCGACATGCTTTTTGCACCTTCCGATCCCTTGTCAACAGCGCTCTTTTACTATCTGCTTTGGCCTTTCACGACCATCACCAGAAGTTCTATCTGTCACGTAACCTCCCAAGACTAGGCCAAGGAGGGGTACAGGTGATCAGAGTGCCGCTTCAGGGCGGAGAGGAGCGAACATGGTGCGCCGCCGCGAGGATACTCCAAACAACAACGCCCAATAACTGGGTTCCTTCTCTTCCTAACTCTACTGTTGGGTGGTTATTTGCTCATATCCTCCCCTTATCAAGTAAATGTTCCACGAAACACATCACCTTTACTGGCTAGATGCCGTACGAGACGTTCAGCACCTGGCAAGCTACCACACTTGCGAAACATTTCGGCCAACATGACATCGTACTCAACGGCGTATTCCTCAGGAGTTATACGGT